AACTTCACGGCCACTCAGCAGTCCGCTAGACCCTTCTCACCCCCGTTAGCTGAGTGGCCGCGACTGGTGTACCACCGTCCCCCCTTTGATGGAGGCAGCCCTAGCTAGCTGCCGCCTTAGCTCCCACCACGGCCGCCTCCGTTGAGCCTTTGAGCCGTCAACAGTCCACTTGTCAAACTGTTCTATTGCCGACGGTCTCAGTGAAGGCGTACAACCCGAGTGGCGACTGTTAGCGGTTGCGCTCTATGGGATTCGGGTTCACGCGGTGTGGCCTCCACTTGGTGGTGGAGAGATTAGGGCTCCCCTGGAGCGTTGAATCACGCTGTCAAGGAGTATTAGATTTAGGTTTGGTCGAGCACTTGGTTAAAAATTTCTTAAATTAAAACTAAAATGCTTTGGGTTTTCCGCGAAATGTTTCATATTATGGCGGTTGTGATTAAAAGAGGTGAATTTAATATGCTCCTTGAATACGTGTGCATATGTTTTGTAAATATATTTGATCATTAGGTTTGCTTTGTTGAAAAGAAAATTGAAATTAAGTAACACTGTTTGTGCCGAACGAAATAAAAATCAATCCTCTCTTTGTTTTCATATTTTTGTTGGCATTGTCGAAGATATTTATTTTCAAAAAAGAAAAAAACTTTTTTTTGGCTATCTCTTATGTTTGTCGTTTTGCTTAATTTGTCTGTTTTGATCTATGCGCATCAAGAAATAAATTTATTACAGTTTGTTTTCAAGTTCTACATAGTAGATTGAGTATTAATGCTCTTGAAATTTGGTTGAAATATAAGTATAGGACTACATATATAAAAGGCTAGCTAGTTGAGAGATTATCAGATTGAAATCAGCTACTGCACAATTAAGTAAATAGTTATATAGTAGATGGCTTGATTATGCCTACTGTTTAAAAATCTATACTAAGGACCATCTGTGCGTTTCGTTTGGCTCCCCACAGACGACGTTCATGTGGAATTCGTGGGTGCTCTTTGCACTGAAGCTTAGGAGGCCACGCTGGGCCGCTTTGTATCGCGTTGCTGTTTGCGGACCTGATCCGGTCGTATTGCGGAGCGAATCATAGGGGCGCAGATAGGTGTTTGGAGGAGGTCATCGGACTTCTGTCCAGGAATAGGACTTATTTATGTGCTGCGATGTCCAGGAAGGGCATCCAGTTGAGGCTCAACCCTCCGGCTTGCCCACGTTGAGGCTGTAATGTTGCAAGATCTGATGGGGTTCCTAAGGAGACCTAGTTTGGTGTAGGTTCGGTCTTGCAACGTGCCGTCGCGACCCTGTCCCGCTTGCCGGTTTGCTCGCGGACATAACTCCTTATGTCCGGGACGGGCGTTTGTTCGCGCCAAACGCTAATTTCAAGAATTGACGTCAGAGGGCGCTCTGCGCGGTGCATTCGTACCGGTTTGACGTTCACGCGAGGGCAGTTGGTTCCTACTGGCGGCGGGGTCGAGTCAAACGGTTGCTAGAACACGTGCTGTCGAGAGCACGTAATGAAGTCGCCCGGGAAACCTCCATTTTGAGAGTCGGTTTTGTTAACAAATTGTTGCCACGACGAGGGTTTTTTGTTAAGTCTAGAATTAGAAGCCGGGCTAACAAATTGTTAGGAAGTTAACATTGATTTCAATCAACGTCGGAATTGTGCTAGAAATAATTGTTGCCACGCGAAACGGAAGTGACCTTTGATTCGAACATTCGGTATTCGTGTTGTGTGTTACGCTTTATAATAAACGAGAGTTAGTGGCGTCTGATATCTAGTAATCTCTATTTGACTAGCCTCCCCATTAAATTGTAGTAGGATAAAACATTCTCCTATATAGCTTAGTGTTATAGGAAATTCTTCCATGTGGCCATTTTGGGCCCGACCTGCGGCTGCTCGTGGAAACTTCTGCTCATGGGCCCCAGAAGATTCGACCCTTGCTGGAGCAGTTGTAGGCCGTAACAGGTATTATAACAGTTTTATCAGCATTAACTGATAAACTGCTATCCCTGCACCAGTTGTTTATGGTGTTTAGGGCTCTTTGAATTTTGATAAAGTACCTTGGCAAAAGCCACTCGCAATGATCACAAGATCATTAGCATAACCCAGTGTATCTTATATATTATTGCACAAGATGGCGAAGGTCTGCCATCTTGTGCAATAATTGGTCAACTGCAAGAGTCCATAGGAGGAGTGACAAAACACGACCTGGTGGACAACCTCTTGTAGTTGCAATCTCAATCGAAGTTTGAAACAAGTCTAGTTTTGCCTTTCTGTACGATAGCATCGACTTTACCCAACTGATGGTTGTGACGGGTGCAACATTTTTAGATGTCAAGCCCCCAATCAGCAGTGATGTAGGGCTACTATCGAAGACGCCCTCAATGTCTAGAAAGACACAAAGAGCTTTTTCCTTATCCTCCAGCGCTTTTCCAACCGTGTCAATAACACTGATCTGGACTGTTTCCGCAGATTTGCCTCTACGGTAAACATGCTGGTTGTAGTGTTTAGGTCTCGTAGCTAGAGTTACATCCCTAATATATATTATACAAGCTCTGGGTCTACTGCCTTTAGTATTGACTAAAATCTTACCGGCAGCCGACAATCCCAGAACTTGATCGTTGGCCACCCAAGGCTCTTGTGTGAGGGCGAGTTCGATGTTGTCCTCTGCGAAGCATACCTCCACCATGGCAAAAGCAGCTGCTGCATGGTGAATATTTTCCGGGAGGACCCCCGTGTTACCTTTGGGTTAGTAATTTATAGGCGTGGGAGGGGGGAGCGGCAGGGGTCGTTTTCGCCTGAGACGTACTTTACCGGTGCACTTGATCCCCGCCGTCACTTTTGGTTTACCTTTCCGACTTCCCTTCCCCCTATCCCTTACCGTAAAACCAAGGACGACTCTGCCACCTGCCGCTTGGAGAGCCTCAGCTGGTAGGTTGTCCAGTGAAAAGGTTACTAGCAACCCATTCTCCTCGTCCCTTCGGTGGAGGATTTTCCAGAGCTCGGTATCGTCGGAGCCCTTCATTTTGTGCCCTCAACAGCACAGCCGCATCGTCTGGAGAGTCAGCTTCGTTGTGAGGCAGAAAGGTAATGGTAAGGGTATTATCGAGAGCTCTGCCTCCGGCCAGGGTTTCAGTTTTCCGATCTCACCCAAAATCCAGTCCTGGCTTGCCTTATTCAGGCACATCACCAGAATCCAACCTGGTTTGTGGGTGAAACCCGGAAATTTTGGTCCTATTCCCGGCTGCGCTCCACGGGCCGTCTTAGCTTGCGTTAATGCACTGTGGACCAGCCGCATCTGCTCCACGCTCATAGGATTCGAATTGCGAATTCCTACACGCGCGGAGCCAGCTACAGAACTGAAGCTGAGCTTTTTCTCCCCCGTTGCCAGTTTCACAGATTTCGTGCTACCCCACTAATCTTATAAGGCCTACTGAACTTTTTCTTTTCCCCTCCCTGGTTCGTTTTCGGCTGTGGTTCGGCTGTGGTGTGGGTTGTCTTTTGTATATGAACTATGAGAAATTATTTAATTCCGTCGAAATTCGGGCGGTGCTGCAGTCTCTTCAGCCGTACCAAGTTGACTGTAGGTATATCGAAGACTGAATATACTGGAGTCTTTGTACAGTAGGGCCACGATGGCTATTCGAGTACAGAACCAGTGTACGAAACCTATCCAACTGCAGAGAAGTGTAAGACAGGGTGACGTTATACCACCGAAACTCTTCAGCGCTGCCTTGAAAGACGTTTTCAAGCTACTGGAATGGAAATTTATTTGAAAATTAACGTCAATGGCGAGTACAACACTCACCTTAGATATGTTGGCAGAATCGCTGGCAGACCTAAGCACTATGCTCAATGACCTCAATAGTGCCTCCCAACGGATAGGTCTTAAGATAAACATGGACAAAACAAAGATCATGTATAACGTCCATGTCACACCTAAGCCGGTAATTGTTAGGAGCACTAATCTCAAAGTTGTTGACGAGTATGTTTACCTGGGACAAATAGTCCTACTAGGTAAGTCCAACTTCGACCGAGAGGTGAATCGACGAATTCAACTCGGCTCGGCAGCGTTCGGAAAATTACGACACACCTTATCGTCAGGTTTACCTTAAACCTTGAAAACGAGACTGTAGAACCAGTGCGTGTTGCCAGTGATGACTTATGGATGACTGCTGGCCATATGAGGAAGCTCAAGGTCTCTCAACGAACTATGAAGAGGGCTATGCTCGGGGTTTCTCTGCCTGATAAACTACGAAACTAGGATATCTGCAGTAGAACCAGAGTGACCGACATAGCCCAACGGATTAGTAAGTTGAAGTGGCAATGAGACGGCCATAAAGTTCGAAGAACCGACTACCGATGAGGAAAAAAGGTTCTCAAGTGGCATCCTCGTACCGGTAGACGAAGTGTAGGGCGACCCCCCTCCCCCCTCCAAATATTATGGATGCAGGTGGCTCGGGACCGTGCATTGTGGCATTCTTTGGGGAAGGCCTATGTTCAGCAGTGGACTTGTGAAGGGCAGTAATGATGATGATGATTGAGACATGAGTAATCGTTTTTAAAAGTTTTATTTGTAATACAATTTTAGTACAACATGAACAAATAGAGAGTAATACCAGGATTGATCAAGACTAAATTTAATCCGAATTATTTAGAGAATTTATTAAAGCAGAAATATTGATAAAATAAAATAAAGTCTTTAATGCTTGTCTTAAGTCTAAATAACGCCATATTAATAGATTCCACTCAGGCGAGGTCAGAGCGAGTCGCTAGTTATAAATGTTATTTTAAAATTAATATATCTACTTGGGTATACAATTATTTTTAATTTTTTTCCATGAATAAAAAAATTCCAAGTAACCGAATAATATAACGTTATAACGATATACCGTTATTAGCGGGTTATCGATATTGGTAGTGCGCATGTTGACGGTACGGGCTTGATGAGCCGCCATTTTTAATCCCATTATTTATCGGTACGGGCTATAATTATAGACTATATAATAAACATCTAAGGATAAACTGTGCGTAATAAGTTGAAAAACTGGTACGAAGTGCTGCATATCTGCAACAATATACAAGTTCTGTTAAAGTACTACTATACTAATTTACTTACAGATCAGGATATTAAAAATATTATATAGGCGCTTCTTCGGTATTAATACTATATGAATTGGATATAATAGAATACAGTTAATTTTTTTTCTTTTACGCTACCGCCAAATATTTTATTTTCTTATACTTTATTTGCAAACCATTTATAAATGATGTTTTTTTTCACAAAAATTTTCTTTATATATCATACTAAGATCATGTTCAACGAGGACACATAAGAGCACATGCTATATTGGAAATGTGGCCTCTCTTGCACAGATCAATCAAAAACAAGATCAATAACGACCTACATATACGTATAAGATTTTATAGCTGACTTTAAATCTAAAGAGAACAAAACTTCGCAAAAGAATACCGATTACCACCAAGTAAGACCCTCGAGACTGCTGAAATAAACCCTAATATTAATTAATAATGTTACGCGCCACTATTAATGTCTTGTACATGGCAACACTAGTTACACTAGCGCCCTCTAGTGTCGAGTAAAAGAAAGTGTTGCGCGCCACTTTTAATGTCTTGTAGATGGCAACACTAGTTACACTAGCGCCCTCTAGTGTCGAGTAGCAGAACTAGGAGAGTCGAGATCCTTCCAGAAATTTCCGGACCGATATGTACTCGAACATTCTAGATGTCGCTATAGTAGAAGGTTCTGGAAACTATCTGAGGCCCTATATAAGGCCGGTATAGACCACGACCGGGGCAGTATTGAATTGGCGATACAAGAGAATACTTCGAAGCGAAATAACGGCGAACTGTGTTTTATTATTAGTGTGATTTTAGATTGTAATTAGTGTTGTGTAATTAAAGTGTCAATTTTGGTAATTCAATCGGCAGTTTTAATTGTCTCGAACCTCAAGCTCGTAACAATTGGTGTCAGAAGTGGGATCAAATATGCCGATTTTACCTAAAGACGACACCGAGGGTATCCGTACCCGAAGTCAACGCCAACAGGAGACGGACCAGAAACGATTTGGTGGTGCAACGTCACAGAAGTCGGCAGGCCAGTTGCCGACCACGGAGCCCGGCCCGTCAGCAGCTCCTGCATCTGCAGCACCTGACTTAGGTACTCTGATGATGATGCTGCAGGAACAAGCTCGCCGACAGAAGGAACAGGCCCGCCGACAGGAGGAACAGGCCCGCCGACAGGAAGAACAGGCCCGCCGACAGGAGGAACAGGCTTGTCGGTTGGAAGAGCAGCTGCAGCGCGGACAGGAGGAACAAGCCCGCCAACAGGAGGAACAGGGCCGTCGGTTGGAAGAGCAGCTCAAACGCAATAAGGATGAGCAGATACTTCTCATGAAGGACCTTCACGCTACCTTCGGGAAAGAAATAAGTGAGGTGAAGGATAAGGTTGCTCAATATGACAACCGCCTGTCGGAAGCTGAAACCCGAATCGACCAAGTGTACAATCAGGTTGACAATGTGATGGCTGACGTGAAGAAAACGCTGAACGACCTCAAAATTAGGGATGGAGTTACAGCTCCCGTGGTAGCTACAACACCTTCGCTACGTGGATTCAAAGTGCCACCGTTCGACGGGACTTCTTCCTGGTCGGCCTATAAAATCCAGTTCGAGGCTGTCATGAAAGCGAACGGCTGGAATAAAAGTCAGGCCATGACTGTTCTCACCCTAGGCCTGCGCGACCAGGCATTAACTGTTCTGGAAGCTCTCGGTAAGGAAGTGACTAACGAGCAGCTCCTTGAGGCATTGGAGGCGAGATATGGCGACGCTCACCTGGAACACGTCTTTCGTGCGCAGCTCAAAGATCGCGTGCAACGCAGTAACGAAAAGCTGCAGCAGTGGGCCCTTGAGGTGGAGAAGCTGGTTCGAAAAGCGTACCAGTCTGTACCTGCGCTTATTGTAGGGAACCTGGTGCAGACATTCATCGACGGCATCCGCGACCTTGAAGTCAGAGCTGCTGTGAGGCTCGGGCACCACGAGACGCTTAAGGACGCCTTGACCCATGCACTGGAGGTGGAAGCCGTGCGGCAGGATCATCGTTCCCACCGCGTCAGGGAGGTTGCAGCAGCTATAGTTCAGGACCGCAATAAAAGCTACAGCCCTAGGTGCTACGGCTGTGGAGAAAGGGGTCATCTTCGATCCAGCTGCCCTAAGCGAACTATAGAAAGGGAAGGTGATCGATCTCGAGAGGGTAGTGCGGCTCACAGCACCGCTCAGCAGCAGCAGGGAAACTGGCGGGTGCTGGCTGATGTTAAAAAAGCCCCAAGGATTTCGATCTCACAAACCCGTGATGGGAACAGCCTGATCATCAAGGGCGAAGTCAACGGAACGCCGTGTAAACTGACCATAGACACTGGAGCCTCTCGCACGGTTGTCAGTTCCCAACTTATAAGTCGGTTCCTTGGGGACTCCGCATACAACCGAGAACGCATTAATTTGGTGACAGCCACTGGTCAGCGCATACCCGTCCGCGGAGAGAAGGAGATGGAGTTGAAGCTAGGCAACATGATCTACCTGCATAATGTCATCGTGGCTGATATAATGGACGACTGCATCCTGGGCCTAGACTTTATGAGGAAGAATTGTTGTGAGATCGACGTTAAGCAAGGTGTTTTGAAATGTTGACAAGAGGAACTTTTCATGGAAGGGGCGTTACCAGAGAATGTGTACAACCTTAAGAAGATTGTTCTTCCGCCGAGATCGGAAACGATTGTGCCGGTTAGTCTTCCTCGGAGTCCTAGGCAAGCTCATCGTTGTGTACTCGTGGAAAGGGTAGACAATGACCTTCCATGGAAAGTGGCTCGAAGCTTGGTCAGAACCACCGACATCTCAGCAGTACGTGTGTTGAACCTTTGTGATCAGGAACAGATTATAGAAAAAGGCACATTGGTTGGTACTAGTGAGGAAGTGGATTGGTTGCGTCGGTGCGAATATCTATCGACCGGGACCCCTAGCAAGGATGGACAAACGAGAGTGACCACACTTTTAGAAGACTGTCGCAGCGTTCTCTCCCCGAATGAAATGGTCAAGGCGAAGAAGTTATTACTCAAGTACGCCAATGTTTTCTCGTCAAACGAAGCTGACATAGGAAAGACTGGCTTAGTTCAAAACAAAATAAACACAGGACAAGAATTGCCTATTCGTCAGCGGCCAAGAAGATTGCCTGTAGCACGTGAAAAGGAAGTGGAAACCATGATTGAGGGAATGGTGAAGGATGGTGTTATTGAACCTTCATCTAGTCCATGGTGTTCACCTGTGGTGCTGGTAAAGAAGAAGGACGGCAGCATGCGGTTTTGTGTTGACTACCGCCGCCTGAACGACGTTACGAAGAAGGACAGCTATCCCTTGCCTAGAATTGATGACACGCTGGACATGCTCACAGGCGTAAAGTGGTTTAGTACGCTGGACCTGAAAAGTGGCTACTGGCAGGTTGAAATTGACCCTAAGGACAAGGAGAAAACTGCATTCTCCACAGGAAAGGGTCTGTGGCAATTTAAAGTCATGCCGTTTGGATTGTGCAATGCTCCAGCAACGTTTGAAAGATTGATGGAGCTTGTACTTACAGGGCTAATTGGAGATGCCTGTCTGGTCTATTTGGATGACATCATCATCGTAGGCCGTACGTTTGAGGAACACCTTCAAAACCTGGAACGCGTGCTCATGAAGATCCAGAGTGCCAACCTCAAGTTGAGTCCAAAGAAGTGCTCACTATTCAAACGGCAAGTTAGTTTTTTGGGGTATGTAGTGTCGGAAGAAGGTATCCGCACGGATCCAGAAAAAATTGCCGCTGTCAAGGAGTGGCCGGTTCCAAAAGACAAGACACAGGTTAGAGCACTTTTGGGTTTGTGCTCTTATTATCGGCGATTTTTGAAGAACTTTGCAGATATAGCCAAACCTCTGCACAAGCTAACCGAGGAGAAGCGACATTTCTGCTGGGATGAAAGTTGCGATGGAATGAATGACATTTATGAGCACGTCAGACAGACGGGCCAGCAAACGTCTGAGAAGATGAAAACACGGTATGACCGCAAAATGAACAACAAGGGGTTTGATGAAGGTTCACTAGTGTGGTTACACAATCCAGTTCGCAGCAAAGGGAAATCTCCTAAGCTTCAAGCTAAATGGGACGGACCGTACCGGATTGTGACAAGGATCAATGACGTAACCTACCGGATACAGAAAGGTGTCAGAGGTACTCCTAAGATTGTCCATGTGGATCGACTGGCGCGTTATTATGGGGCCAATAATGCTCGGGACGAGCATGTCTTAGGAGGGGGCAATGTTACGCGCCACTATTAATGTCTTGTACATGGCAACACTAGTTACACTAGCGCCCTCTAGTGTCGAGTAAAAGAAAGTGTTGCGCGCCACTTTTAATGTCTTGTACATGGCAATACTAGTTACACTAGCGCCCTCTAGTGTCGAGTAGCAGAACTAGGAGAGTCGAGATCCTTCCAGAAATTTCCGGACCGATATGTACTCGAACATTCTAGATGTCGCTACAGTAGAAGGTTCTGGAAACTATCTGAGGCCCTATATAAGGCCGGTATAGACCACGACCGGGGCAGTATTGAATTGGCGATACAAGAGAATACTTCGAAGCGAAATAAAGGCGAACTGTGTTTTATTATTAGTGTGATTTTAGTTGTAATTAGTGTTGTGTAATTAAAGTGTCAATTTTGGTAATTCAATCAGCAGTTTTTAATTGTCTCGAACCCCAAGCGCGTAATAATAACATAGCTACCATCTGCCTTGGATTCTGTATAAAATAAATTCAAATCCAAGCGTAGACAGATAGAGTACCTACAGCGGTAGGCTTCTAGGTAATGTGTGTGCATTCTGAGAAGATCAGAGCTGTATAATATAAAAGATATCTTGCTTTAAATGCACGAAGATAGTCCTGTAAATAAGAATTGTTAAACTAAGGCAACTTATCAGAGTAGTTAAGCAAACAAGGAAAAATAATTGACACGTCTATCTTAAAACAAAAATAAATTAGCCTGAAAGTCACAAATTCCACACAATATCTTTGGATCCTGAAGTACATCTGAAAATATCTTACTAATTGATTTAATCTGTAATTAATGAAACTCGAGAGACTTACAGCGCTAAAAGTATTTAAGTTCATTGTAAGGTAGCCATTAGCTGTCAATTGAAATGGTTTTTGAGCTCGCATAATAAATATTAACAATATTTTTTTAGTTTCTGGACTTGCATTCGGCCAATCAGCGGAGTATATTGATTCTGTTAATTCTTCACTCTGTAATAAAGAAAATCTCTGTATTGCGAAAGACATATTTTAAAAATATTTAAAATTAAACGCTCAAGTAAGTAGTTGTAGTTTTGTTTTATTAACTGGCAACGTCTTGAAATTAATAGTTACATAATATTATAACATCAAGAGCATCTAAAATTTATTTAACTATAAAAATATCAAAACTCTTTGAAATAAGTCATCTCATATTAACCATGTTCAAATTATCATCGAAAAAAATTAAGATGAGTAGAAAACAAAATGAGCCGGTCAAAAGTATTAATAAGTTGTGTTTCTTTTAGATATTCAGAAAAGCCCCTGTCTAAAGAAACAAAACAAACAAAAAATTGTCCGTGTAGTGACTGCCGCATATCATCCGTGGATGTCGTAAGAGGCGACAGGAGGAAATGAAATAGGAGATGGCCAGCAGCATGTCTCTCATAACCCGCCTGCCAAGCAAATCAAATCAAATCAAATCATTTATTTGCAATCCAAGTGTACATAATTGGTCTCAAATTAAAAATGTGCTTACATCTTAGACGCCCTTTTCAGACACTGCTAATTCGACGAGGACACTGCTTGTATTTGGAAGTTTATACTAGAAATGCGTTAGGGGTGGCTCGAACTTTAGGCCTAGTCAGTTTGAATACAGTTTAAGACAACATACAGTTTGAGATGGCTCCGTGGCGCAGTGGCTTAGCAATGAGTTGTTGCGCTGGGGGCCCCGGGTTCGAATCCCGCACGGAACATGTATTTGTATGGCCTACAAATGATTGTTCCGGGTCTGGATGTTTGTCCTCGTGCTATCTATGTTTTGTAAACTGCCTCCACGATACAGGAAAAAATCCTAGTGTGGAGGTAACGTTTTTAAAAAAAATAGCCTATCATGTAGAGGATGTTATGGGGGGTCATGTTTGTATAGAGGCAAAAAGTTCTCATTACACTCCTAGGGGGCCAAAATGGCCAAAAACCAAAAAAACTTATTTTGGCTATAACACCGCTTCCTTCGGAGGTTCTTACACAGTCTTTACTTCTCGTATCCCACTTGTATACATAAAATATAGAATATACTTAGGAAGCTAGACAAATATAAAAATACATAATAGTGTTATTTTTTATCTAAATACTTCTCCACTGAGTAGAAGGGGTTTTATTTTAAATATTTATTGAGTCTTGATTAAAATTTGATTAATTCTGATATGTTTTTTTTAATTTCCTGTGGTATTTTTTCATAGGAGAGGGGGCAAACGAACATGCGGCTCATCTGATGGTAAGTGACTACCGCCTCCCATGAACAACTGCAACACCAGGGGAACCAGGGGAATTTCAGATGCGTTGCCAGCCTTTTAAAAAGGAGTAGGCTCTTTTCTTGAAGGTCCTTAAGTCGTATCGGTGCGAAAAAATCGGTGGTGGTAATCGATTCCACAAGGAAGTTGTGCGAGGAAGAAAACATCTTCTAAATAGCACATTATTTCATACTTTTATTGCCATATAGTATGGGCATGTATTTAACATTTTTGTTCGCATCTATAGTAAGTAAGTATAATTTATTTTTGTTACGTTATTTATGTATCCCCCTATGAGGCAATCTATGGAGGCCTACGTTCTGTAGTGCACATACCTTAAATAATTGTGATATAGATAAAGTTTTATTGATAGTGAATAATATTGCCAAAAATATTTTCTGATCAATCAACTTTTTTATTTTCCCGTTTTTTCATTGAATGAAATATAAAATCAGAACAGCAGAAATTGGTAAAAAAAATATAACTCACAATAAGGTTATGGATTATCTTATGATTAGTATACTTTGCTAGTTGACAGACATGAAAACATCATAACAAAATAAATAAAACTTCCTGAGGATATTGTCACCTGTATAATTTTTGTTCCGAGTTAATGGAGACAGAGAACAGAAAATCCGATTTTTTTTTATAGTAGGTATAAATGTAACAAACGAGCAAGCAGCCCACCTTCTGGTAAGTGAACTCTGTAGCCCATAGACATTTTCCCCAATTAAGAATCAAAATTCAGATGCCCCTGAGGACTAAAATTGAATGTTTTGTTTCCCGTAAAAATGGTCTGCGGTTCTCTACACTCCCATACGAAACACAGCAACATTAAGCTGTTATTTTACGAGGGCATTCTGTGAAAGCGTGGTCCCACCCCGTTGAGCCAACCCAATCATGCTGCAACCATAATGATGGCTCCGTGGCGCAGTGGCTTAGCAATGAGTTGAAGCGCTGGGGGCCGCGGGTTCAAATCCCGCACGGAACAAGTATTTATATGGCCTACAAATAATTGTTCCGGGTCTGGATGTTTGTCCTCGTGCAATCTATGTTTGTAAACTGCTGCCACGATACAGGAGAAAATTCTGGTGTGGGGGTAATGTTTTAAAAAAAAAAGAAAAGAAATAATATAGCTGCAGCGTGGCTCTACTACGTCAAATGAATACAAACATAGTTATCTCATTGAAAACAACATGTTTGAATTTAATTTAAATTTCAAGTATGAAGTATCGATACATGATTTAATTTACTTTTTATTTTTCATGCAAGACATGCAGGATTCAATTGACGATATTTTCCTTCACCGCCGAACACGTGGTAAATCAGAACTTAAAATAGCAATTAAACATTTCATTGGTGCCGGCGGGGATCGAACCCGGGTTGTTCATCGCGTACTCTGAAATTTACAGCGAGCGCTTATCCCCTGAGCTATTACGGCTCTTGGTACACTGTACAATATATTTTGCTAAATTTTATTTTCATGAAAAAGGCCTAATGATTCCCAAGACAGTTTCCCTGTATCTGCTACAATTTACATTTTCCCCAAACTGTACCTTTTAAAAGAAAAGTACCGTATGTAATAATCTAAAAAAATATAATAATATTAATCACTGTCACTATTACTATAGCCCATCACAAGTCCACTGCTGAGCCCATTATGGTCCCACTACGGTTCGGTAGTGGATGGATGCTGGTGCATCGACTACCTGCATGTTTCATCGGGTTGTCACTCCATATAGATGGGGTCACCCAAGAAATATACGAGTTTAGTAATAAAATAACAAATAAATACATAAGTTTTCGGTAAACTGCTGTTGCCAACCAGCATGCCAAGCGTGGCAACTACATGGACCCTTATTTAAACAATAGACTTTTGATAGGATGTGATTAACTAATTAATAATGAAAGCATAATATTATGTTTCTAAAGTATTTGAGCAGGTATTAAAATTTGATGTAATACATATTTTTTTAATATGGTTATGTTTACTATTTACTTTGCGCGGCTAAATATATATATATACGATATACGAATTACAGTAATGCAATATAGTTATTTTTCTATGATTAAAAGTAGAAAGAAAAGAAAAACTAAAGAAAGATATATTAATATTTTTTAAAAAAAACGAAGAATACAGCTTGCAATTACTAAAATATTTTGTTTCAAACGAGCATAAAAATATTTCATACTTTGATAATAAAATGATACCATTTTTAATACTTACGTGATCACTTAAAATTTGACCGACAATACATTGATTGAAACTTTCTACAAGTAGAGACACGGAGAAAGAAAAATACCGCACGGACTGGTAAAAGTTATCCACCACCTGTAATATTCAAATACAATCAATACTTTAAATACATTTTGAGTCTTTGTTTGGTTAGTATATTTAGTGGCACTAACCATATATTATACTGATTAAACTTTTGACCTAATATCCAGGAAGAAACATTTATCTTACCGTAAAAGTAAATGCTGTTAAACAAATGAAAACAGCACCAAGAGAGTAGTTCAGAAGCATTGCGTCACCTAAAACGTTGTCAAGTGATGATGATATTCTGAAAAATAAACTTATATTAGTGGTTTTTTTATATCATTTATTTCAAATAAGAGAATGAATTTTACTTAGCGAGGAAATGATGCCGTGCAATAATAAATTTTAACTGATGTAAAACCCGTTCATGGATTTCTTTAGAACGTTGTCCATTTTGTAAATTTTTTACATCTTCTGTGCTTATTATTTTTTCAATATTAAGTCCTAAAATTCTCAACTCCATGCAAATAAATATGATATATGTCGCATGCATTATATTTGAAAATACATAGACACAAACCACCAGTGCCGTCATACAACTTTCCCATAAATACGCACACCAGTACCATTTAACCTTATCAAATGGGTACCACCCGTTAAAAGGATACAGATACTGTAAATCTTTACCCACCACCTTGTTTTCATACGTCATTACAAGGAATGGAAAAGAGTTGACTACAATTATAAGGGGCAATGAGTAATAAAATAAAAATCTATTCACAACCATACATATGAACCTATACTTCTTCAAAACTTTTTGATGCGACTTCGAATTTATTGAAACAACATCCCATAAATCATCACGAAAGTGACAAAATATTTGATTGTAAACATCTCTATGGACATGTATTTTAGCATATTTTATTGACGATATAGCGCAGACCCCTAAATTCGGTGCAATGTTGATAAGTTCAAACCAATCTTTAAAGCCAGTTAGACATAAAGTAAGGAATAATTGAGTTGTTGTGCAAATTATCAAAACATTTAATACGAGAAAACCAATAAGTTGTTTCCTTGTCCGCCTTAAAAAAGGTAAAAGAAAAATTTTAGATCCCATTGTACTTAGAAATTCTAATTCAATTAAAATAGGCCGCCGTATTGCATAATATTTTCGTGGCATTTTCAAATTTAGAACATAGAATATTAGAATATAAGAAATAAAAATGTATATAGATGTAAAATGTCACAGATATGTTCCCTATTATAATGTGAACAATAACTGAGACAAAGAAAAGCTTTTTAAAAGGAAAGGATTAGTATGAGAATTTTATATGACCACAAATGTTGGCTAAGCTAGAATAATATTTTAATATTGTGGTTCTGCGTAAAAAAAATACAGAAATAACGTAAAAGTTCTTTTTCTTTTTTCAAGAAAAGGAATTTAAACTTTAAAATTGTTGTTTAATTATTGTTTAGATTAATTACAAACAGCAAATTATTTTCAGAGGAAGAATGATGGATAATTTTTTGATATATTTGAAATCTACAAAAGTGAAGTGGATATGTGATATAAGGGACTTCACTCACTGTGCAGAGCTATTAAAGTATTTTGATGACGATGAACGTGCAGAAAAATCTTACCATTAATTAATAAAAGTTAAGATAGATAAGGACAATGTGTTATTGTGATTAAACAACTCGAGGTGGCAATAAACCATTGTACCTACTATATTGGCCTACTTATAGAGAGTTTAATTGCTACTGTTATCACGCGTGACGGTTTGGAAACCGCAGTTTTTTATTTAGTTATAAAGAAGTTGCTGCTGTCTATTACCAATTACATTTCCCTCTGTCGCTTTTTACGACATCCACAAAATAGTATTGGTTAATATAATTGGTTAATATAGTTAATAATGTAACCTCTTACACCACCATTACGCGGCGATTAAGAGTTGCACCTTCCAAATACCACGTTGCTACACCTTTACCACATTTCAGCATCGTCACTGGAATGCTCTCACACCCGCGAACTGCCTAGCCTCGACCCGCACTGGCGACTGGTATACAGTACGCACTTTCCTTTAAGGCCTCCATCTTTTCGTGCGTAACATACTCCCGAATCCACGACATGAGGTCCGTGATTACCAGGAATGCGAGCATTCCAAATTTAAGCTTTTCTGTCTTTGGTTTCACTACCCACCACCTAAGAAATCTCTGTTACCTTTTTATCCTCTCGAGGGTTCCATTGGAATCAATCAAGACAAATGTCTGGGAGATATTTGGGGCTCCGATAAGCCAGACGTAAAATAGGTCTCAGGTAGGTGACATGCACTTTCTGGTATTACTAATCCTCCGTGTTGCTGAATACACCATGTTGGCCTATAGAAACTACGTCTAACTTCTGCTTAGAATTCAGCGGTATGTGGGCTGTCTCTCTTAAAAAAAAAAAGAAAGAACGAACGAAAGAGCAGTTGTTTTGATTTACTGCATGACTGTAATATCATTGTATGTTGGATTAAATAACTGTCTAGTTTGTAATTAAATAACAAAAAGCAAATATGCGGATCTCCAGTAATAAAGAAACAGTCAATATTAATTCTGTCAATATCATATTAATATCTATCAATTAACCTCAGCAAAACTGAGCTTTATAATAAAGTTCTAAAGGGCAAATTAGTTAAGTGTAGCATAGGCATAAATTGACGAGATTGTAATTTAATATGGACGTAAATAGGTCAAGGAGCTCTTAGTTCTTGTGATCGCTTATAATTTGCTTGCATTGTTCAAAGCTAAATCTAAGGAGGGCACCGTTTCACAATGCCTTTTGAGACCCTTTGATGCATGACTAATATGGGCATTAATCCGATGAGAGCATGTCATCCACTTCACGCTAATGCAGAATGGAGATGGTTTTCATACGGATTTGGGTTTCTTCGGATTATTTGTTTTAGAGGGAGATGAATGCAAAGAAGGGATATAATTATAGATAAATATTTTTTTATTTTGAAATAATTTATTGTTTTATGTGTATATGTATGCTATATTTATTTTTTACTTCTTATAAAAATGTCTGTCAACAGAACTGCCCCCTTTCCTATACCTCTTATCAAGAAATTCCTCCAGCCTGAAGAAGAGCATCATAACTAAGATCTCAGAAGTGACAACGCATCTGTACCCATCTTTGAAATGGGTTATAGTCAGGGTTGATTTATCTGCTTCTGATCAGGTGTCTTAGTGCATTTATCAGTTTAATATAAAAATTATGAAAATGTGCTTATCAGAACTGACACGATACTTTCATGATCGACGTTGACTCTGTTGTCAGAGTAGTATTAGTAGGACCTTCTGGCTGACTGTTGCAGAACTAGAACTGACATTCGTACCGAATAAATCTTAGTAGGTCTTCCGGTTTATGCCTAGAACACCTCCCTTATACAATACTTTCTTCGAGCCTATTTTCGATCGAATTCCATAATTGATGGATAATGATTATGCGCGTACATTCATTTGCATTACTAGTATTAAAGTGTTTCTCCTGCTCAGTTGATAGCTTCCAAAAGTGTACAGAATTGTTTAAGAGAATTGCCGCGTTCAAAACCGGAAGTAAAATAAAAAATAATAAAATAAGTAATTTATATGATTCCATTCCATTAAGTAATTTACAGGATTTGACATTAGCAATAAATAATATTATATTTTTCAAATAAATAAATGTGTAAAAACAATCAATCAAATCCAATTTAAATAAAATAATATTTTTTCTACTTCTTGTTTCACCTTTCTGTTCAAGTATTTCGACCCCAAGGATTCAATCGAGCGCTTTAGTAAGTAATTCAAATAGCAGGCATTTTTTGTTTAAATTGTGTTCATTTATGGGATGCGTTTCAAATCTATATAAATGTAGTCTCGTATACGTTTGATTGTTATGTACTTAGATTGTTTTTTTTTATTTATCACACTTTACTATTCTTCCTTTCTTTATCGAAAATAAGATATTAAAGATATATTGAAGAAATTTATCTGTTAATAAGATAGCTGTAAATGTATTTTCAATATATATATGTATAATCAAGATCTGTTCACCTGGAAAAAAAGTTCTGAGTTAACACACGTAGAAAGAATTGAGAACCTGCCCCTTTTTTTGAAATCGGTTATAAACTAGGTATCTTACAAGATAAACAGGAGAGTGCCAGATGTAATAACCCTAAATCCAATGAATCTGTAAAAGTCCCCTGGCTACCAGTACCAAACATCACCGAAATATGACACAAAATAAAAGAATAAAAAATATGCTGACGTAACTATCATAGCACTTCAAGTGCTGGATCTAGTGATTTACAAAGGGATTGAGCACGTATAACTAAGCCTTCTTCCGCTGCGGTATCGCATGGAAACTGCGTTGCATTCCATCGTCGCATCGGTGGTGTGGCACCCAATGTGGCGAAATACCTGCGGTGACGGCGTGATGCCATACAAGTCGCTTCGTGCTTCTCTTTAAGCATCGTATATACAATTTAAATAACTTGACAGACATATATCTAATGTATACAATATTTTATATATTTTTCTATTTCTGGTTAATATTATTAAAAAAAAGTTACAGAATTACTTCGTATTGATATTTATTTGAACAAAACTTTGTGAAGAGAAAACTTAGTGTCACGTTTAAAGCATATTGCGTGCTCCGAGGAGTGATTGCCACCAAAATAATTGGCAACAAAATAATTACCGACAGATAGACTAAATGAGCTCTGAATTTTGGGAGATTCCTCATGTTGGTTTTTCAACAGTTTGTGAAGTGTATTTCTAGGCAAAAAAGCGTTAATTTTATGTATATTCCTTATATATCAGATATCTGTGTTCTATATATAAATATGCAGCTCAAATCATAGATATGTAGATAAATACTGAGAGTTCAAATTAAAATTGCTTGTTTAATAAAAATGCAAACTTAAAATTTAATGAATTACGATCGTATGGTCCAATCAATGATCTCTGGATCGTATGATCGTAGTGGTCCAACCACTGGACGATCACTAGATAATAAAATTAAATTCAGTCAAAAATAATCCTTAATACCACTTATATTGTAATTATGGAATCATGAAATACTTTTAAGAATTCAAGGTGCACAAAAGGTAAGAAGATTATGCGTTAGATGTTCCAGCACTCGAGTCTGCACAATGGAGATTTGAACAGGAACGTTTCATTCAAACCTCTGACAAGGTCTCACACGTCAAATTTCACTCTCTGAATAGAGCACCCTTCCTAGCGTACAATCTTTATAAATAGTTGTGCGCGGATGGTGCTTAATTTGATGGAAATCCTTGCTCAATCTCAATGGATTCCAGGAAGTCAATGGTTCTTGAGTTAGTGAATTTATCGGTGATTTAATTGAGGTTTTACATTATTAGGACTTATTAAGCTAAAACCTGAAAGAATTTATACGAGTAGTTTTAATAACAATTGTGAAATTTGATATATTGCATGCCTCACAACGTAAAGGAGTGCTCTACTCTCGACCATACTTCAATTTCGCTACATAAAATCGTTCAATATACTTTTAGGTAGACATCAAATCCATATTATTATAAACGTTACAATAACATGATCCACAAAGATTGAGCGGTTTTGCTCAATTTTTGAGTCTATTCAGCAGCTTAGTCTTCCTCTTCTGATATTCAGGTTGTTGTAGCAGTGGTGTTTAGTGATGATATGGGTATCTCGACGTGTAGTCGGTGACGAGAACAGTCAAAGCAATTATTAAAAATTTGTATACAGTTGCCATGTGAATTCCATGGCAAGCGTTTGTAACATTTATAACAAAAATATGTTAGGATAATGATACCAGTAATCGTACTTAATATAGAAAATTTTGTTGCATGTTTTTCTAAGAATGTAGGTTTATTATCTTCAAGCAATTTTGTGTGAGTTTTTATTTGTTCTCTAACCGAGTTAAGAGAATCGAGTTGAATGTTGTTGAGCTGGATTGGTGCAAGTTCTAGTTGTTGCAGCTTAATTTCATCTGGGATGCAAATGTGTTCAATATCCACATAGATACAAGGATGGCTGATGTTGATCGATTTTGTATCCTCAGCTAGGAGTGTAACAAACGTGGTGTACATTTTACATCCTTGTTCTAGAGTGATGATACCTGCTCCAGAGATTTCGCCGTTAATC